GTCGCATTTCAATAAGAAAATAAAAATTCATGACATCAAAGTTCATTGAAGTCTGTATCGCCTGCATGTGTATCTAGTTAAACTGAGATTATAAGACATCTGAAATAAATTAGGATCAGTCTCCATCTACAGCAAGGTTAAATTGTCCACCTTATCAATTAAGACAACGTCTCCCCTGTTGTCAAACTAATCTGACTAAATCTTACGTTGTCCGTGGAAATATATATCTACTGCGGAGGCATACTCCCCATCAAGGCCTCATCTACAGAGAGAACAAACAAACACTGGCAGTAGTTTGAATGCTGCACAGGTATAAAGTGGGCGGTGCTTTTTCTTGATTGATCATGTCACAAATCATTTAGAGAACTCGACAGGTTCTGTATTGTAGATACAAATCTGGGGGCGGAGACTAGTGCTATGCACTCGTCCACCCCCAAATTTGTATCTACGATACAGAACCCGTCTCATTCTCTAAATACTACTTATTGCCCGGTTTGTTTTGCTACATAACCTTGCTAATACACAGTCTTTCATTAAAACGGGTCTGTAGGAGAATATCATCTTAACAATAGAATGTTTTATCATCATATAAGACTTGGTATGAAACATTGTCTGTGCTCTCATCATTAATCAATACATGTCCCATACAACAACCATTATTTAACGTGGCCAAATTTAAGGGATTCAGTGGGAAGGCCCGGGCCATTAGCTTAAAAAATTCTTTGTTTGCAGTTGCCGACCTATAGTTTTTATAGTGGATAGGTAGTTTTTGTTTTTTTTAAAAATAAGTTATTTTTCAGACTTTTATTAGATAACAATTTATAGAGATATTCATACTTCAAGGGTTACTTAACATAAATAACCTTCACTTGATAAAAACAAAGATAAAAGATAGAACATTTTCAATATCCTGAAAAACTGAAACTTAAAAAAAATAATAATACAAAATGGCTAAAAAAAAAAAGTTTGGGTCAGGTGCATTTTCAGTGCGTGGGTAGGCAACTGCAAACAAATTAATTTTTAGCTCACCTCGACGAAGTCGAGATGAGCTTATGCTATACCCCCGGCGTTGGCGTCGGCGTTAGCGTCGGCGTCCCGGTTAAAGTTTTAAGAGCAAGTCCCATTCCCAAGTTACTATAAGCCCTACCTGGACCAAACTTGCATGGATGATGCATCTAGAATGGACACTGCCACACTTGCTTCAGATGCTGGATCTGACCTAGATTTTCCAGATGAGTGACCAGGTTAAAGTTTTTGGAGCAGGTCCATTCCCAAGGAACTATACGCCCCACCTGAACCAAACTTGTATGGATGATGCATCTAGGGATGGACACTACCACACTTGCTTCGGATGCTGGATCTGACCTAGATTTTCCAGATGAGTGACCATGTTAAAGTTTTTGGAGCAGATCCATTCCCAAGTAACTATAAGCCCTACCTGGACCAAACTTGCATGGATGATGCATCTAGGGATGGACACTACCACACTTGCTTCGGATGCTGGATCTGACCTAGATTTTCCAGATGAGTGACCAGGTTAAAGTTTTTGGAGCAGGTCCATTCCCAAGTAACTATACGCCCTACCTGGACCAAACTTGCATGGATGATGCATCTAGGGATGAACACTACACACTTGCTTCGGATGCTGAATCTGACCTAGATTTTCCAGATGAGTGACCAGGTTAAAGTTTTTGGAGCAGATCCATTCCCAAGTAACTATAAGCCCTACCTGGACCAAACTTGCATGGATGATGCATCTAGGGATGGACACTACCACACTTGCTTCGGATGCTGAATCTAATCTAGATTTTCCAGATGAGTGACCAGGTTAAAGTTTTTGGAGCAAATCCATTCCCAAGTAACTATTGGCCCTACCTGAACCAAATTTGCATGGATGATGCATCTAGGGATGGACACTACCACACTTGCTTCGGATGCTGAATCTGACCTAGATTTTCCAGATGAGTGACCAGGTTAAAGTTTTTGGAGCAGATCCATTCCCAAGTAACTATACGCCCTACCTGAACCAAACTTGCATGGATGATGCATATAGGGATGGACACTACCACACTTGCTTCGGATGCTGAATCTGACCTAGATTTTTCCAGATGAGTGACCAGGTTAAAGTTTTTGGAGCAGGTCCATTCCCAAGTAACTATAAGCCCTACCTGGACCAAACTTGCATGGATGATGCATCTAGGGATGGACACTACCACACTTGCTTCAGATGCTGAATCTAACCTAGATTTTCCAGATGAGTGACCAGGTTAAAGTTTTTGGAGCAGATCCTTTCCCAAGTAACTATAAGCCCTACCTGAACCAAACTTGCATGGATGATGCATATAGGGATGGACACTACCACACTTGCTTCGGATGCTGGATCTGACCTAGATTTTCCAGATGAGTGACCAGGTTAAAGTTTTTGGAGCAGGTCCATTCCCAAGTAACTATACGCCCTACCTGGACCAAACTTGCATGGATGATGCATCTAGGGATGAACACTACACACTTGCTTCGGATGCTGAATCTGACCTAGATTTTCCAGATGAGTGACCAGGTTAAAGTTTTTTGAGCAGGTCTATTTCCAAGTAATTATAAGTCCTTCTTAAACCAAACTTGTATAGATATTGATCTTGGGATGTACACTATCTAGAAAAAATATGATGTGAGATTTGCCTTACTTATAGATAACCTTCGTCGAGGTGAGCTTCGTAATCTTTGATTACCTATGTTTATTTTAGGCCCCTGGTTTATGGTAATTCAAATTGAAAATGAACATGTAAATTTTACTAATTAAAAGAAGTAAATGCTTTATGTGATAGGTTTTGATTTTTTAGCTCACCTGAGCCAAAGGCTCCAGTAAGCTTTTCTGATCACACTTTGTCAATTGTTGTTGTTCCAGGTGTCATTGTCATCTTTGTTTAAAACTTTTCACATTTTCATCTTCTTCCAGAACTGCATGGCAAATTTCAACCATATTTGCCACAAAGCATCCTTGGATGAAGGAGATTCAATGTTGTTCAAATGAAGAGCCTTGCCCTCTTTCAAGGGCAGATAATTAAAGATTAGTGAAAATTTAATGAATCTTTCAAAAATCTTCCTCTCAAGAACCACTGGAACAGAAAAGATGAAACTTATGTGAAAGCTTTATTACATAATGTAGTGGGAAGTTTGTTTGGATCATGACCCCAAGGGATATGGATTGGCCGCAATAAGCAATCAAAGTTTTACATATAGAAATACATATGTAAAAAACTTTATCAGTCTTTTTCTCATGAAAAACTGGGCCAAAAGGGTTGAAACTTTTGTGAAAAAGTGGCGGTAGCATGGGGCTTTAATGGGTGGTCAAAATTTTACTTTAAAAAAAATGTAGATACTAGGTAACAATCTTTAGAAATCTTCTTCTCAAGAACTAGACATACTGGTAGTATAGGGCCATAATGGGGAATCAAAGTTTCACACTAGATAGTGATAATTCTTCTTTTTAAGAACAGCAAAGCCATGATTAGTCATACAGATACATGTATATACAGGTGACTCTCGATGGCTCGAACTCCGATCTCTCGAAGTTCTCGATCTCTCGAAGTGAACCTCCGGTCCCGTTTTTTCCTCTATATAACTAAGCAAATTTACTCCCGATCTCTCGAACTCCCCATCTCTCGAAGTTCTCTATCTCTCGAACCAAGATCTGGGTCCCGTTACACATATTTCATTGTTTTTTACTCTCTATCTCTCGAAGTTTTGATTGCGCATGTATACATGTCAATCAAGCGTAAAATTAATGCAGCTTGGACTTACCTGGATAACAGTGAACGCCTGGGGCTGGGATGGACGTGTTAATTGGGTGTTTACATAGATGACGCTACACCTGTGAATCGTCCGAGAGTTGATATAATTAATTGGTTAACTGTTAAATTATAAACAAATCGCGTCACAACTTATTTTGACTGGACGGGACGATAATTTTGAGGAAATAATTTAGAGACGTGTCAGTAATTTTTCCATAGATTATGAACTTTAATATTATTAGAGTCTACACAATCCCAGTTTGGCAAACATTGCACAAGAAATCCTATCTCAAGAACTGAATACCGATTACGAACAATCTTGTGAAGGACCGATCAAGCCCGGGGGAGAGCCAATTAGACAATTGCTATTCAGGTTTCATGTAATCATGAAATGAGAACAAATAAATATTGAAACTTAAAATAATCATTTTATTTATTCAAAATACGATCATTGTTTTTGAAATTAAGTGAATTACCTGTAAAATATGAAAGAAAACGTGCAATGACATTATCAACATATACTTCCGGTATGTACAATAGTAGAGCAATGATGATGGGAACTGAAAATTCCGGATTTTATTCACTTTCTATCTCTCGAACCCCCCGATCTCTCGAACTTTTCTTACGGTCCCTTGAACTTCGAGAGATCGAGAGTCACCTGTATTGAAGAATCCTCAAGTAGTGTAGATTGAAATCTGTTGAAATCATGAACCCCTGGGATAGGGTAGGACCACAATGGGGATCAAAGTTTTACATACGAATATATATTAGACTCAGGTGAGCATTGTGGCCAATTGGCCTCTTGTTTGCTCTACCCATGTCAACATGGCACTAGTCAGAAATGATAACTAAATAACAAAATCAAGTATGGACAGAAAAAAAAAATCAACCAAGATATAAAAACCACCAAAAAGCTTGATTTATTTAATATATATATTTTTTCAGACAAGGCTGTTTATGCACATTTTTTAACATTACTGATGGTATAATTTGTAAAAGATATATCACTGAAAATTCTATTAGTCTTGTCAAGCTATTGCTGACTTATATTTGACTGGCCCAACAACATTTTTAATCTGAATAGGGTTGTTAAATAGGTATATTTAGTTGTCTTTATACCTACTCTCTCTCTCTCTCTCTCTCTCTCTCTCTCTCTCTGTATGTCATATTGCATATAAATCTAGATGAAAAATATTCCTTGTTGTTTTTCAAAATGATCAAGAACTTGTTTGACTGAAGAGATAGAATGAAAAGGGAAGACCCAAAAGTGTTTTATAACAGGTACTGTGAGAGTACTGGGTATTTGATTTTGTAGTTTTAATTTAATCAGTAGCAAGATTACAGAATTCATAACTGGTTACAGTTTAAATTGTAATATGGTTAAAACCTGAGACATAAATGATAGAAAATATGGTAAAGATATTTTACATATTTCATAAGTTAGTAATTTGAATTATATACTTTTGAAATGAAACCCTATATCATTTTCACAGAATGCGCAAGATGGTTTGCATCATGGTTATGAAGGAAAAGCTGACAGTATTTTTGAGACAGCAAGAAAAACATCATTGCACACCACCAACTAATAAGACTCCAAAGGTGGGGGACCACATGCCATGCACATGCAACCATTTGAGATTTTACATGAAATTACTGCATTACATACATGTAAACTTGAGATTCCATGTAAAGTAGTTTATAAATTTAAAAAAACCCTTTAATACCTTTAAATCAATGTAGAACAATGAGTTTTAATGTGGTAAATGATAATTATATGTAACTATTATTTTAGGAATAACAAAGATTAGAGTTTAAAGAATGGATTCAATGCTGGTACTTGGATAAAGATAATCAGGCATGGACTCTCATCTCCTATGGATCTTCAGCACCTTTAGGTTACAGTTTTATATTTCATAAGAAGAGACTCATAAATAAACAAAGGACAGTCAGTTACTACAAAAGAGAAGCATTGGAGATTAGTGATATTTTGTTCAGCATTATTGCATCTTACAAAGATGTAAACTATTAAAATATTGTTTAAATCTATCAATTAATGATTTTGATACATGTACCAGTAATTAATAATTTTGATGTGTGGTAAACTGGTAAAATTGAATGGAAAACAAGCAGATGACTTGGTAATGATGTGTAAAAAAAACATCATTCATTTAATTAATACATGCAATTGCATGCAGTTAAAATTTGGTCAAAATTCTTGTGGTGTATATTGAAAGGTGTAACCAAGAGGGAAACATAAAATGATTTTCATATTATCATTAAAATAAAAGTCAAGTTGTATATTATACAATTATTTCTGTTTTTGAGGTCATTATAATGGTTTGGCTTGCCTAGATGTATGCATTCACCGATCCTAAAGAAGGAAGTAAATATTGTCCCTTGATGATTGTTGGATCAATATATTAACCCCCCCCCCCCCCCAAAAATAAATAAATAAATGTAATTTCAATTTTTGTATAATACCATATGTATCATACCCATAGGGTATGGTGTGTACAAAACAAGCATGAGCTTTTGATTTGGCTGTTGGACTTTAAAAAAAAATTTTAGGCTGAAAAAAACCTCAAAAATGGGATATGATACTGTTTTTGTAAATATGGATTATCTCCCTTTTCAGCTTAAAATTAGAACATTTTACTGGTCATGAAAATATTTTGATTAAATGAAAAGTAAAATTGTGTTGTATTTCAAATTGGAAAATTGAGAATTTTTTTTGAAATGTCAATTTATTCTTACATGCATACCCGTTATATATTCATGATATGTGTATAGGGCATATTTATTGTACTGTGACAAAAAAAGGGAAATTGCCATTTTTTATATGAAACTCATCAATCGTTTTGGGAAAATAATAATCATTTGCACAAAAATGTTTTTATTATTTTATTTGCTATAGGGTATGGTATCTATGAAATTAGCATGACCTTTTGGTTTGGCTGTAGGGTTTTTTAATTTTTTGATAGCTGAAAATCCTCAAAAAATTGATATTTTGCTGTTTTTGTCAATATGGATTATCTCCCTTTTCAGCTTTAAATTGGAACATCTTACAGGTCATGAAAATATTTAGATTAATTAAGATAAGTAAATAATTGTGTTGTATTTGAGTTTGGAAATGTAAAGAAATTGTGTTGAAATGTCAATTTCCTTTTACATGCATACATATACATGTATGGCATATATTGTACTGTGACAAAAAAAGGGAAATTGCCATTTTATTTATGAAACTCGTCAATCAATTTGGGAAAATAATAATCATTTGCACAAAAATGTTTTAATTATTTTATTTGCTATAGGGTATGGTGTCTATGAAACTAGCATGGCCTTTTGGTTTGGCTGTAGGGTTTTTTAATTTTTTGATAGCTGAAAATCCTCAAAAAATTGATATTTTGCTGTTTTTGTCAATATGGATTATCTCCCCTTTTCAGCTTAAAATTAGAACATTTTACTGGACATGGAAATATTTTGATTAATTATGAAAAGTTACTATTTGAGCTGTATTTGAATGAGAAATAAACAAAAATGTGATTTATTGTCTGATTTTCTTTTAATTTCATATGAAATATTGATATTTTTGCCTATTTTTAGAGGAAATTTCAGCCATATTTTACCGAAAACAGTTTAACTGTTGCCATGGCAACCAGACACAGAATTGATAAAAAATCATTTTATTTTTTGTAGTATCTTAGCATACTCTACCAACATGCAAAGTTTGAAAAAATTCTGAAACCCCCCATGTATCACCCCCTGCATGATTTTTACACGGAGCCATACTTAAAATTTGAAGAAAGTAATTATCAAGAATATTAGATGTAAAGGTTGCAGGGGCTTTTTAATGACAATATTGTGTGTAGGAAGTTTTCACATTTATACACTGCGCTGTAGAAAGCCTGTCCATTGCTAGAATTCATTCACTATTCGGTGTCGCCTGCAGATTGGCACTGAGGGATCACTTTACCAAGCATCTGTCTGTGTCTAGCTGTCCGTCTGTCTGTCACACCCTATATCTCAAGAACTGTTAGAGGTATGGATTTGATATTTTGCACATACATTGCTTGGCACTACAGCTTTTGTAAATTATCATGGAGGTACCGACCTTGTGACCTTTGACCTTGACCTTTAAAATAGTTCATAGTGCTGATATACAACATATATTTGACATTTAAGAGGTAAGTCTATGCTATTTAGCATGTATACTATTTGTCATAAGGCAATATAAAAAATATCAGCATTACAATCCACTTGACCTTGACATTTGACCTAATTTGCAAAAAATATCTTGGGCAGTTAATTAAACTTATGAATATTGAATTTTGAGAGGCAGGGTTTAGATAATTAGCATTAATATATGTTCATGATCTCATGATTATGTACTTTGAAACCGGCTATGATATTCAGTTACCAGACAAACTTTAATATATTCAAATACTATGAAAATAAATCATGATGGGTATTTCACAATGGATCATGTAGACTAAGATTTGCAGTAAACACATGGTAAAGATAGACTGAAATCTCTTTTGAATGCTTATTGGAAACATGTTTAGCTCATGAAAAAGTACTTTGAAACTGTATAATATTCTGATACCACACAAACTTATACATGTATTCAAAATACCATAAAAATACATCGGGATCAGTATTCAACAATGGATCGTGAAGACTGACAATGGTTGCAGTAAAGACAGACTGAAATCTTTTGGAGGATTGTTGGAAACAATTAATAAAATGATAAATAGTTATTTCTAATAAATTCAAATTTAAATGTTTATTTGACATGTCTTTGAGGGTTAAGGAACCATATTTTCTTTGATTGTCAGATTCTATTGCAGTCGTATACTTAATCCATGTACGTCTTTTTTTTTTTACAGGCAAATGCATGAACTATCAGTTTATCATACTTTATATATAGTAATTAAGTAAAAAGCTGACCATGCACTCATAGATTTGTTTACACCTGAAATGAAACTACAAAGCAGGTGACACATGTGTTCCTTGAAACATGTACTCTTGTTTAAATATGTTGTCTACATATACACTTAATGTCTTCAGCATATCCCTCTTATCGGTTAAATTTACAAAATTAACTGACATGTCTGCTTTTAACAGATTTTATCTAAAAGTATTTAATGATTTTATTGCAATTATAAATTCATTAAATCTATATGTCCTTTATTTGTCACACATAGTCTTTTAATTAGGGGTGTATTGTTATACCAGTTAATAATACATGTATGGAGATACCTTTCAACTGAAGTTGGTTTCCAGTTAAAAGCAATAAATTATCTTAACTCTTTTTTTTATTTGTCAATTTAAAAATTAGAAAAGAATTCAAGTCATCGTAAAGTACATTGTACTTTACAAAATGTAATTTGTTTTTTTTGGTTTTTTTTTTTGTTTGTTTTTGTTTTGAGATATAGAATTTTGTATTAATTATTCTATAAATTATATTTAGGCCAAACAAAAAAATATGTGTGGTTCCGCTTACACTTCCAAAAAAATTAGGGTAGGTAGGTAGGTAGGGATTTTTTTTAAATTTTTTTTTTTTTAACAAAATGATTTTCTTAATTTTTTTCTAAATAATACCTATCACTGCTTTGCAAATGGCATTTAGATGTGGTGTGATAATATACTAGTCAATATTGGTCGGGGACACCTATATGCTAGCTTGCTTTGGATTTAACACTATTAAACACTTGCAATATGTTTTGCAAGGAGGCCGTCATTGCTGAAACTAAAACTTAAACTGGAGCCATTGATGGAAATCAAAATTCCGGAAAAAATATGAAAATTGCCAAAAAAAAAGTTAGGGTCGGGGGTATAAAATAGGGAAGGTCGGGTAACCGGAACCACACATATTTTTTTATTTGGCCTTATAAACAAACCTTATTTCATAATGATTGAAGAATGCATTTATTCCTAACAATTTTACAGTGAAAACTTTTATGATTTTTTATATTCTACAGTAGAACACGTAGAACAGAAGTAAAAAAAAAAGTGATATGCATCAATATATATCATAAAACACAATTAAGTCAAAATATTGTCATGATTAATTTTTTTTTTGCATTTCGATACTCATCCCCACTTTTAACTCAATGAATCTTTACTCTAGACTTTGTAATTTTTGAATGAGAAAGCATTTATGAGATTAGATTCAAAGCAAAGCTAGGGGCTGACAACAAAACAAGAGGCCTATGTGCCACAACACTCACCTGAGTCACTTTGGCCCTGCTGTTCTGCAACAGGTTTTCCCCCAATATACATGTATTTCTATGTAAAATTTTGATTGTATTTTGTGGCCCCATCATATATATAGTGGCCATTATTTGTTAAAAAAAATGAATCTACGCTACCAGAGGATGCTTCCACATTAATATGATTCATCATGGCTTTGTTGTTCTTGAGAAGAATTAAGCGTTTTAAAGATTTACCCAATATAATCCCTATATTGTGCCCCAGAAAGCTTGCACCTAATTTTCATCTTTTCTAGTCCAATATTTCTTGAGAAGAAGATATTTAAATTTTTTTCCTATATATTTCAATGTAAAAGTTTGATCCCCTATTGTGCCCCACCCTACCCCCGGGGGACATGTTTTGAACAATTTACAATCTACACTACCTCAGGAAGCTTTCAACTACATTTTATCTTTACTAGTCCAGTAGTCTTGAGAAGAAGATTTTTAAAGATTTTTTTTTCCTATATATTTCAATGTAAAACATCCATTCCCTATTGAGGCCTCACCTTACCCCCAGGGGCCATGATCTGAACAATTCATCATCTACAATTCCTTAGGCAGCATTTATATAAGTTTCAGCTTTTCTGCCACAGTGGTTCTTGAGAAGGAGATATCTAAAGATTTTTCCTATAAGTAAGTAAGTATTGTGCCCCCCCCCCCCCCCCCAGTGGCAAGATTTAAATAATCTAGAATCTACACTACCTCAGGAAGCTTCCATATAAGTTTCAGCTTTTCTGTCTCATTGCTTCTTGAAAAAAGATGTTACAATGACCCCACCCTATTTGCATTTTCCTGATGATCTCCCCTTGGAAGGGAAATTGGCCCTTCATTTTAACAAGTTAGAATCCCCTTTACTCAAGAATGTTTTGTACTTTGCTTAAATTTGGCCAAGTGGTTCTTGAGAAGAAGTTGAAAATGTGAAAAGTTTACAGATGGACGGACAGACATGTGATCAGAAAAGCTCATTTGAGCTTTCATCTCAGGTGAGCTAAAAACTCAAAAAGAGGGAAGGGGTGTAAAGTCATACATGCACCTTGTCCTTTAGCTTTCATGAAAATTGAAAATATATGTATTTAAAAAAATCAATGAGAGAAACTACATGTAAAAATTAGTTAAAATTAAATGGTAGTAATCATAATTGTTAGGTTATTAACAATCAAGATAAATGTTTAATTCAATTACCAATAAAGAGATCCAAGTTTAAAGCCATATTTCCAAAGGTTGATTCTTTGTCATCAAAACTCCTAAAATCCGTCTTAGTCTTAACTTGCACATCTTCCTTGAATTTTTGACAATCATGATTTTTGTTAATTTTGTCAGTTCAACAGTATTTCCTGACTTTATGGAAGTCTGAAGAAAGTCCTGAGGATTACACTCTACTATTCTTTTTTTTCACACTCCCATGGAAGTTATTCTGATTTGTCATATTTGGTTTCTCACAATCCTTAAATCTTTCTAATGTGGCTATACATGCTTCCTTTAAACTTGGTTGATATCATGTGTTCTATAATCCAACACAAGCTGTAGAACAGACGTCCTTCTTCTTACAGGGTTTGTTGCTAAGAAATGTTCATAACTGAAAAGATAAAGTGATTCCCATCTATTAGAATGTTGAAGACCTTTAATGAAATATCAAGATTACAAACAGTATTCAAGCTCAAAAGAGGTGGGATGAGTTATAATGGAGGAATAAGCATCCCCTGTCAACTAGTTACACCTGCTGTGAGCTCCTTGTCATAATAGGGTGAATGGATAAATCTGTAGACACTTCAGTATGAAAATAACAGCCTAACAATTTCTGTATGAAAACATCAGTAAACACTTGACTTATCTGTAGACTGTATTTGTTAACAAGGTCATTGTAACAAACACAGAATTTGCAAAATGTTGGCTATACCTGTATCATCAACTTATTTGCCAATAGCTTGCCTCATTTTAGTTATTGTTTGTACTTGGTACACATGCTCTTGCCCTTTGAATCAAATGGGAGACTTAAACTCCATATGCAGGTGATAATGCTACATAAGTAAGAGAAGTTAATAATAGAAAAATTAAAGTTACGTGTTTATCATAAAGTTTAATTGTTACCTTGCCATTAATGTCTTTAGTAAAATATTCAAATATGAAACAGATGTATAAGCCTCTGTGGTGTCTTCAATTTTGAGTTCAAAGAGATACACATGTGAATGAAAAAAATTAAATATAATGAATAGTGATCAATCTAAGAAAATCTATAAGCAATACAAATCTGTGAAGTGCCTGGCAAAAAACAAGGACCCTCTGGAAATTCCAGAGGTGGGATCAGATGTCTAGGAGGAGTAAGCATCCTCTGTTAACCGGTCACACCTGAATAAGTTAATGTAGGAATAAAAATGAATAATTACTATCCATTGATAAAGCATCATCAGTATATCATTATACATAATATATCTAGTAATGTAGCGTTAGTATGTATAGGACAGGAAATACAAAATATAGTTATTTATAAAACAGTGTATTTTCAACTTCAGGTCATCATATTAAGAAAAATCCTATATTTCCAAACATTGAGGAGGACTGGTGGCTTTCATTTGTTTCATTGTATTTAATCATGTAAATAATGTACCTGACCACAAACATATGGCATGTGGCTTACATGTAATCGTGCTATATTACGCATGCATCAAAATTTAATTCTAATTATTGCTTAGTGTTCACACGGAGTTAATGCAAAGAAATTTGATGCGCAGTAAATTAATTTGAATTAACTTATTTGCATAAATTCTCCATGTGAATGTGGTTCAAATTTAATTTGTATTAACTTACGTTCAATTCGAATTAAACCCTCCTTGTGAAGACGACATAAAATGTACATATCTCATACTGTACACCCTCAACAAAGTTTCACAACCAGTTAATACATATTCTTTTCAGCTGTCAAAATCACATTCGCATGATTAAAATGAAAGTGAATGTTAAGTTGAATACCGATCCCGATTAGACTAAAGACAATTAAAGGACTGTTAAGGACCCTCTATACACTAAATCAAAAATGTTTTTAGTCCAAGATAAATAAATTGAATACTTTATTTGCATGTGTTTTCTCACTTAAATAAACAATGTGTAGAGATTTCTGTTCATCAATACTTTAATGTCTTTGAATATTTTTCTTAGGGTGTAATGTACCCTATGCTGAACATGTTGAAATTCAAGAAAGTAAAGTAGATCTGATTAGCTCATTATGTATGCCTTTATATAATATGATTTTCTTATTCAATTGTTAAGAATGCTTGCATTAACTAAAATTCAATAACAGACTGCTAGGATTTCAATAGATTTATTAAATTTGATTTAGACCCCAGGGCGAATTAGTCTCTATCTCCATAAAATACCATAAAATCAGAGCTCTTTGGTGTACAGTATATTCAAGTGGAATATAATTTAAAATTGACATAGAGTGTAATTGATTTGTATGTGAAAACTGAAATTAAAATAATCATGGAGGGTAAAAAATTGGGAAGGGGTTACAATCTTTCAGATTTCTTCTAATTCCATCAAAAAATATATACAGAGAGCTTAATTTATGCAATCTAAGTAATACACAGATGATAACATTTCTTGTTCATTTGAAATTACATATAATATTCTTGGCACACAGACTTGTTCACTATCAACAACATGTTTACCTTTTAAATGAAATTTTAATATCTGGTTAAAGTGGTAACAGATACTCTTTATTAACAAACTTCTCTTAACATAATTGATCACTCAGGTTTACAGGGTCTGCCAGTCAATCGATATCAAACATTAATTAATAATGATTCCCTCTAAAAGATTATGAGGCCCCTTATATTTTTTGTTGTTATTGTCTTGTCTTTTATTGTCTTGTTTAGTATTTTTAATACACTTACAAACAACTTGTTCCTTAACACTAAATAATGATTTAAGTTGACTTTGGTCTGGGTAATTACTGTGCTTTTCCAGTCACTGCACTTAAAAATACTAAATGCATCTGCTGTAAGTTTTACTCGCATTAAGGTGTTGATTATATACTGTAGAAGCACAAATTTTCGTGGGGATAAAATTTTGTTATTTGTTATCTGAGAAGGTTTTGTGGGCATTAAATTTCGTTGTTACGAATGTAACCCTACTCATTATACTGAAATGTAAAATTTCATGTGGGATTTAATTTCGTTGAATAGATAATGTTAACAAATATGGTTAACAATGAACAACTGTCGAAATAAAGGAATGTTTCTGCTTTAAAAGCATATACATGTATTGTATATATATATATGCATGTATATATATAAAATGTAGCTTCTCTGGCCTTTCTATTGATAATGTAAATAAGTGAGCAGAGTCATCTAGTGTGATTACATTTTTTATTACTTTGAGGGGAAAAATCATAAAACCTGTTGAAATTTTTGATTTTTTTATTCTATCGGTAATTGCTAATAGATCCAGTTTTACATAATGCCAATGTTAGCTTCACTAATTTATGCATAATTAATCCCATATTCAAAAAAAAAAAACAAAAATTACTTTTCCCTGCATTTTCCAGTGCCTCATGTTAGAGTGGGAGTGAGTTTAAAAAAACTGCAAGATTTCAAACAGCTGCAAATCTCTGTTATTTATGTCTCTATGATGTACACCCTTGATGACAGAAAACTTTTGAAGGATTTTGAATATTTGTAAATGTTCAATCATAATTCCATATAACATACTTGTATTCTCTGCATTTGGAAAATCTTAATTTTCATTTATTTTTTTTTTTTAAATCCCTGAATGGAAGTAAATCTCTTCATTTTGAATTTCAGTGGTTGCATTATACCCCAATAAATACATGTATAAGTGTGTATCCCTCCTTCTTTGTTTTTTTGTTTTTTTTTTTGTTTTGTTTTGTTTTTTTTTGTTTTTGTTTTTTTGTTTTGCTGAAAATAAAAGTGTGCACACAATAAAAGAGAATTTATAGTAGTTCTTATTTGTTTAATATATTAATACATTACATGGTATACCCCAATGACAACAATGGCCAATGGTGTAGTATTAATTATCTGTCCTGTTTATTATGGAAAATAGCTAAATAATGAAAATTATTGGTATGACTGTCAGTTGCAAACATCTTTTTTTTTAATATCCCATTTAAATAATTTTATTTTACTTTTTATCTGGACTACATGTATCACTGGTGAAGTTCCATCTTTGTCCTTTAAACTGAACCTTTAATTTTTTTATACTGGCACAATTAACTGATAACATACAGACTTAATTTTAAATTTATTGATCCTCCCAAATATTTGCCGGTCTTGGGCCAACAGACTGTCATTAAGGTAAATAAATATTACATGTAAAACACTGATTCATGACTGTAGTATGAAACAATGCAGGAAAAGGTATACAGATCATGCTGATACACAAACACATTATCATGAACATGAACTCAGATCATTAGAACTTCAGGTAGTGTTTGTTTTTTTCCTGACATGTAGCTTAAATTAATTATACTATTAAATGAATGAATATTATATAATTGCATTCATACCATAAACTTCTCCCTGCTGTGTTCTGGGAATCCATGAACATTGATAATTTTCTGATCCGAAATCAATGAATCTACCTGAAATGTATTATAATAATAATAACATCAGTTTTAAAACATGAATTCCAGGATGATAAATAAATAGGAAAATATTCTCTAATGACTGTAACTTAGTAGAAGTCGCATCATTTTCATGAATCATCACAGTCAGGGACCTATATACTAGTATATAGGTCCCTGTCACAGCTATATTTACATATTCTCTCAAAATTGTCTGTATGCAATAATGAGTGCATGTCAATAAAATGACAAGTATCAATCTTTAAATTCTCATACTTTGAAATCTTTGTACATTAAAATTAGGGCATGTCACTGTCTAAATGCACAGCATGTCTTTGACATAAATATCAACTTATATTATAAGCTGCACTATATCTTCAGTTTGTCAGGGCTAGAAGATCACGTTGACGCAGGGACCTATACATGCTTAACAATTATATCATTATGTCCCTGGGAGAAGTAAACAGCTGCCCCCCCCTCCCCTTTCATAATTTAAATGTGCAGAAATTATTTCTAATATTCACGCCTCAGAAGTACATGTGTTTTTTTAGTTGACAGCTTAATGTGTACACAATATTAACAATGATTTTAGTAGCCCACGTACCTATATATAACCCAGGCAGACTGAACGTTTCCCCTGCCCATAACACATGGCGTGACCGACTCTACTTTCGTTTTTAATACGAAACCTTCGAACTTGACATGACACATAAACAAGATGCGAAACGCAAGAAAACATTTAAAATTTTTGACAATATATTTTGCTACACATTGCAAAAGATCAACGTTGACTCAATAAAATTGAAATATTAGATGCAGAAATAGTTTCTCTCCGCGAGTACAACAAATGCCAATACGGAACGTGTTTATTTTCCCGGAGACATACATGTAGATATAGAAAAAAATTTCTTTATGTTTTTACTAACATTAATAATAATAACTTTTAGTATATTGGTTAAAACCATTTATACTGCAATCATGCAACGATGCACATTGTAACTATACAGCATATACATGTATACATACCGTAGGAAAAATATTGAGTAGACAATAATGCCGTAATGTCATAATGGACACATATCTTTACTCATTAATTCATAGGCCATATTTAATACATAAAATTTTTCATTTATTTATTTACAGATTTTTTACTTACCTTTTACAAAGTTTACTTCATCCTCATGTACATGACTAAGTGTGAAACGGGTACTGTATTATGATGTCATTTACGACGTCATTTGATGTAACGAGCATGCGCACTCGCAATGTGTGTAAGTCTCGCCGAGAAGAAAAAATGATGGATCCGTGGTCATCTTATACACACTCATTACACAGATCTCATGCATCCGGTCAAATTAACACTTCATTTTTTTGAAATGGGATGCATCCTAGGACATTTTCCAGTTGATTTATGATAAAATCCAACTGAACACCACCATTTCGTGTTCATTTGGATTTTTCCGTGTTCATTTAAACGTGTGCCGTCTAAAGCACGTGTCCAATTGACAGGGTTTACAAACACACATAGTGTGTGTGAGGGTGTGTGTGTGTGTGTGCACACTTTTATTTTTTCCAGTCATAGACTGTACACATTTAAAATCATTAGGGAGAACAGACTAAATCAGGGAAATAGAAAGAAATGCGAAGTAAAAATATATAGGCTTAGATAGATCTAATATTAAAGAAAAATTACAATAATAAGATAAGCTACACACACACTTAACAAACTACTTCGTTTCTCGACGATGTAATGAAGATATCTTTTCGAAAAATTTGTGTGGCCCTGAAAAGGGCCGTTTATTTTTTTCTGGACTGCAAGTTTGCAGTTTACTTGCTGCTGGTGTACTTGGTGACGGCCTTGGTTCCCTCAGAGACAGCGTGCTTGGCCAATTCACCGGGCAGAAGGAGACGGACAGCAGTCTGGATCTCTCTGCTGGTGATGGTAGATCGCTTGTTGTAGTGAGCGAGACGGGAGGCCTCGGCAGCGATTCTCTCAAAGATGTCGTTGACGAAAGAGTTCATGATGCTCATGGCCTTGCTGGAAACACCAGTGTCTGGGTGAACCTGTTTCAGCACCTTGTAGATGTAAATGGCATAGGATTCCCTCCTCTTCCTGCGTTTTTTCTTGTCCCCAGTTCTCTGGGCCTTGGCCTTGGTGGCCCTTGATTTGTAAATAAAATATCTTGTATCTTGTATATATTGCAGCCTTACTTGCGACTCATTTGTCTGACTATAACATTATATATATGATATCACACGTCAATCAAAAAGTTACGACTCATACAAATTTGCTAAGAAATCACAGTAATTTCAGATAATAAATTTTGTCTTGGTGATTTTTTCTTTTAAAATTATCATCAAAGATGCGTGTATCATTTTCCTTAAGACCTAAAGACAAGGAAAATGTAAACAATTCTGCACAATTCAGTGAAAAAAAAAATAATCATGGAAAATGGGTTAAAATAGCTCTCAAATAAGTTTTTTTAATATTTATAATGTTTTTTTTTTAAATGTTTTATATGTAGGGCGTGCAAATGAAATATTATGACCCGCTCTCAGCCATATATATACTGTTCATGTCAGAAAAGGTACATTTATGTAGAGTATTTCAACACAATTCGGATTTATAAGTATATAATTGTAAAAACACGCCTCAAAATTATGCATGGTTCATTTCCTGTGGAAATTGCTAGATTTGATGTACGCAGGGATGTTATACGGATAGAGAATAGAAATTTACTATCCAGGAAATCGATCGTTGTTACTGCATTACTATATGTTGTCTTTTGAAAACTATCCCGTGTTCTACAGCTCGATTTCAAACGTGTCCAAAATATATCTCTGAATGTGCTCAGATTAAAAACTTTGAATATTTGCTGTATGAATATAGCTCAGAACGTTGTTCATTATCTTGAAATGAAAATGAATTAATAATAAATACGAAACGTCACGCCTTGTTTCTTTCTTTTTTCATTTTCCCCCTACTACATTCTTCATTTATTTATTTATTTTTAAATAAAATGCAAATAATCATGTACATATGAATATTTGGACAGGCGCAAGGGAACACACTGGCTGAGACAAACATATTATATATCTAGACTAAGGTTTCATTGTTTGTTGTTGTTGTATATTAGTTTATTCAGGATATAACTTTGGGCAATACAGCCCATCAGTTTACAAAAATAACATATAATAACATATATTACAAAATTTAAGACTCTCAGTGAGCCTAAATTGGGGGGTGAAACCCCTGGTCAAGTGTTCCTCAGTCCCACAGTTCCACTCATTTATAGTATACAATAATATATAATGAACAAATGAAGTACAATATAATCATAATTCAAAGTTATAATACAGTATATAGCAATGATGTTTTAATGTACAGACATCTGAAAATATAAACCTTACACAGATAGAAATTAGGTTAACCTGATTGATCTTCGTTACGTAATATTAGGGCATAATGAATATATTTCCCTAAACCAACCAAAGTAGATATGCGGTTGGTACCCAACAATTGGATTAATTTAAAAGTACTTGGCAATTTGTAATAATATTCATTTATATATTTTTTTCTTCAATTTAGATATCTAGGGCATTGAAGAATGAAATGGAATTCGTCTTCTATTTCACGTGTATTACAAACATCGCATAATCTATCCTCTCTACTTTTGCCTTGGTACCTTCCGCATTCTATGTTAAGATAGTGAGACGAAAGTCTAGTGCGGGAAATATGGGTTGTTTTTTTTTTTTAAATTACTCTGAAAAGGTTTTGTTAAATAGAATTGCATTTTACAGAAGTCAGATTGGACAATATGTTTATATAGAAAGCATTTTGACGAATTATCCATAAATGCAGTGCACTCTTGGAGGTATATATCTAGGATTCTATTTTTATACACGTGCATAAAATGAGCAAAGTTTATTGCTTGCTGTTTTATCCAAAATTCTCCCAGACCCAATCTAAATAGTTCAAGTTTTACATCAGGCGCCCAGTTTATACTTGTTCCCGACCCATTTTCTGCATCATATCGCAGGTATTCATAAGAAGATTTTTAAATGCAGTTTTCTGTTTTTAATAATTTACACCAGAATTTCATAATTTTCAATTTCCTTTGTATAATAAGTGGATATCGTCCCAATTCTCTATAAATCATATAATTGCATACATTGCGCCTAACACCGAGGGTAATTTTACAAAAGGATAAATGCAGTCTTTCAATTTCCGGAGATTTATGAAAACCCCAGATTTCGCTTCCATACGAGATAACACTTCCAACATATGTATCAAAGAGTTGACATCGGCTTTCGACGTTGAATTCAAATTTCTGTATATTACGGTTTAAACCAGATAGTGCTTTTTGACCTTGTTCAGCTAATTTCTTTTGCGTACCATTGAATTTACCGTTATAATTTAAATATAATCCTAGGTAATTAAAAGAGTCGACAATTTCCAAAATTTCATTGTTATATGTCCATGAAAAATTTACGCATCCTCCTTTTCTGAATACTAAAATTTTGGGGTTTTTTTTTTCAGTGTTAACAGTCAAATTCCACGAGGTAACATATCCATGTAACGCGTCAAGCATATACTGTAATTCTTCGGGTGAGTTAGCGAATATTACGGTGTCATCTGCGAACATCAAAACAAACAGATTTAAACAGAAAAATTCAAAATATAAATAAATTAATTGTGAAAAATAGTTTAAATTTCATTATTTTCAATCTGTCGGTTGCACTTCTATACTGCCTAAATAGGAAGGTATGATACAATACAGAGTCTGTGTGGGTTTCTCACAGTTTTAGGGCAAACTGAGGATATTCACAGGACGGAGAGATCCAGTTGGCATTTTTAAACGTGTCTAGGAAAAGTTTAAGATAAATCATCACTGAAATTTGTCTTTTCAAGCAAAATTTTCAACTTGAATCGTAACGTGAAATTCAGACATGCGAGTTTGGAGGCCTATTTTCTTGATTTTGAACACTACAAAGAGAACAATCTAAAAATGTAAATAGATAGAATGATAGAGAGGAATGTAGAGGTTGGGACTATGCTCATATTTTGTGATAGAGACCCTTCGTTGAGCTGCAGCGCGGATGCAAATACCCACATTGAAACACACATGCACGAACAAAAACACGTACGTCTCGACACACTGGATGTTTTCTAGGCGGTCCGCGCTCAGTGTAAACAAAAACAGCAAGTGCGTGTGACCCAAGTATTCCAGTGTTCACTGTTCCCGAGAAGTAAGTCGTCGTTTTACTCTCCTAAGTAGCCATGGCCGATACTGCTGCACCAGCAAAGTCCCCAGCCAAGAAGAAGGCCGCAAAGCCTAAGGTGCCTGCTGCACATCCTAAGTACATTGACATGATTAGCGCCGCCGTTGCATCTCTGAAAGAACGCGGTGGCTCATCCAGACAGGCCATTCTCAAGTACATCATGGCCAACTACAAAGTGGGCAACGATGTAAACTCTATCAACGCCCACCTGAAAATGGCCCTGAAGAACGGTGTTAAGAAAGGTGCTCTGAAGCAAGCAAAGGGTACTGGCGCTAGTGGCTCCTTCAAACTTGGAGACAAACCCAAGACCGAGAAGAAACCTAAAGCCAAAAAGGTTGCCAAGCCCAAGGCAGCCAAGCCCAAGAAGGCCGCCGCCAAGCCCAAGAAGCCTGCCGGAGAGAAGAAGGCCAAGACTCCCAAGAAGAAGACAGCAGCCAAGAAACCAGCCGGACCCAAGAAGACCAAGTCCCCCAAGAAAAAGGCAGCCCCCAAGTCTCCAAAGAAGGCAGCAGCTAAGCCCAAGAAAGCCAAGACTCCCAAGAAGGCAGCAGCCAAGAAAACCAAGACTCCCAAGAAGGCAGTCGCCAAGAAATAAGCAGTCTTTGCATTCCAGACAGACTGTCCACTTAAAAAAAAAAGCCCTTTTCAGGGCTACCCACATTTTTAGAAAAGATACCTCAATTACAGTCGTTGATGAAAAGTCTGCATGTTTGCCTCTGTCCCCCCCCCCCCCCCCCTCCTCTCTCTTTTTGTCTCACATTGTAATAAGGCTGTGCTGAAAATGTAAAATTAGGAAATTTTGTTGCGATTTCTAAATCAATAAAATTAAAGTATTAGAAATACAACACTGCCTAAGGGTAAAGTAAAATTATATGATCATAGTAATATTTTTAAAGTACAAGAAATTGGAAAATGATATCTCCCCCTCTCCCCCCCCCCCCCAAAAAAAAAAGTTATGCTCACATACAACATTAATAATGGAGGAGCGAAGTCAGTAATTGAAATGAATGACAATAAACAGGGGATGTGAAAGTGTGTATATGAAATTTTGAAGTATGATAGACCATTTTATCACACAAAAACACTGGTTCAAAATTCAGTGTTAAGTACACAAGTTTTATGATCAGATATTTTGAATTTGTCTGTTTTATTTCCTAACTATCAAGCCATACACAAAATGAAATGGCACATACTCTGGTACTCTGAGATAAATTTGTAAGGTAGTGACTATTGATGCAACTTCTGTGTAACCCGTACATGACCAAAGAATTCTTGAAAGCAAAACCACTTGCATACCAGTGCTTATTATTACATGATACATCACTTTGACATATTTTAATTTACAGAATCAGTTTTTTTGAGCTAAAATTTCTTTGACCCTTCGGACTTGTTTTGACAGGACTTGATGTGTTGACAAGATAAGTTCTTGAAATATCTTAAATCAAATGAGACAAACACAAACAACACAATGAAAGAAAAAAAAATCAGGTCCTTAAAGAGAGCAAAGCAATGTTGGGCTGATTTACAAGTGTTATGACACCCACCAAACACTGGGCAATGTATATAGAATTAAAAAAAAATAATAAAATAAATAAATATATGGTAATATCCTTTTATACATTTATACATTTGCATGGCTTTGTATACTAGGGAAGGCTTTGAAATCCAACAATCTTACAGATAAATAAAAGAAAATAAAAAATAATAATAATAATAACAATTAAATAGATACATAAAATGACAAAAAAAAAAACAAACAAAACAAAAGAAAAACAAGGGATAAATCATTACGATTGTTAACATTATTACTGTGATTGTTTTTATCTCTTCATTCAATGGATCCTTATTATCAGAATTATATAATTTTAACCAAATAACCTAGATTTAAACCCAAGTACAAAATCTGTGCAGAAAGGTGGATTGAAATGATTCCAGCTAAGACCAATCGAAGCACAATGTGCCCGACTAATCACAAGGCGTCTTTCTTAACTCCGGAACCAATCGCAAACATCCTTACTTCGTGCGCGCTGATTTCGAAGTTTGATCAAATATTCACGAGCCACAGGACCGTATAAAACTATAGTAAACACACGATCTCGTCATTCATTTTATCTGAACTCAGAGAAGGTGGCACGTACCAAGCAGACTGCAAGAAAATCTACTGGAGGCAAGGCCCCACGAAAACAGCTGGCTACCAAGGCAGCCCGTAAAAGCGCACCAGCCACCGGTGGCGTTAAGAAGCCTCACAGATACAGGCCAGGAACTGTCGCTCTCCGTGAGATCAGGAGATACCAGAAGAGCACCGAATTGCTCATCAGGAAACTCCCATTCCAGCGACTTGTCCGTGAAATCGCTCAGGATTTCAAGACCGATCTGCGTTTCCAGAGCTCTGCCGTCATGGCCCTCCAGGAAGCCAGTGAGGCCTACCTTGTCGGACTCTTTGAGGATACTAACTTGTGTGCTATCCACGCTAAGAGAGTAACCATCATGCCAAAGGACATCCAGCTTGCCAGACGTATCCGTGGCGAACGAGCTTAAACATATTCTTGTTTCAGACAAAACACAAAACGGCCGTTTTCACGGCCACCAAAATATTTAGAAAAGATGCCTTCATGTTACAGCGCTCAAGAAACGTAATACACAAAATTAAAACACAAGGCCACATGATAAATGTTAGATCAAATTTGGAGTAGGAAAGTGTCATATATACTGGCATAAACGCATCTAAACTATTATTTATACATATGCAAGAAAACAACAGATGTGATCGTATTGAGTGTTAAGTAGCCTATATACTGGCATAATTGTGACATCTTACACTCTATCATTACTTATATACAAGACGAAACTATAACAATAAGTTTAAAATGAATGTCACGGACAATTCGAAAATGAATAAAACACTTGCAATTATAACGTACAAAACAGAACAATTATTTTCTAATTTAGAGTCCTTAACAGACAAGTATGAAATTATTACAATAATAAGAAAAAGGTATGCCAATGGATAGTATAACAATTTGTAAATGACATTGTTCATTTCAACAATAATATTGTACTATTTCAGTTAAAGGGAATACTATAGATAAAAGTGTATCGGCTACTACAACATGTTATCATTTACGAACACGTATCCAAACATATGCCAAAAGCACAACCATTAGAAGAAAATAGTAATTCTAATAAAGCAGAATCTCGTTCAGCACGAGCTGCACATGTGTCTGTCGTGGGCAATGTAAATACACAGTATATACCATCAATTTCACAAGAGAGAGAGAAAGAGTAAACGTTTACTTTATGAATACTGAATCAAATGACATATTAAAGAGGTGAGAACCTCGTTAGTGGTTAATACTTGCGTGCAAAACCTTTTGCATTGTGCCAAAATAGGTACAAATGAAAATAAATGATAAAAATATTCATTTAAAAAGAAAGGAATCACAGATTTAAAAACAGGAACTGCGCACGTAGTTCTAACCATGTATTTTTATTCGAATTTATTAGAAATGGGTATAAAATTAAAAAAAATATATATATATTCATTTAAAAAGAAAGAAAACACAGATTTAAATACAGGTACTGTGCACGTAGTTCTAACCATGTATATTTATTCGAATTTATTAGAAATGGGTATAAAATTTTAACATTCTAAAATATTGACCTACTGAATTGAGATAACAGGATTAGAAACAGCTCAAGGGTACATCAATAGAAAAAAAAAAAAAAATGTAAACAAGAACAAGCAAGGCGCGCAGAGCGGGAACCAATCAGACTGTTCCTTACTGTGTGCCTTCGTTGCACTGCCGAAGTTTTCAAGATACAAGTGCCTCTAGCGCGTCGTCGAACAGCGCTATATATATCGCTATCCCGTCTGTCTAGCGTCATTTCAGAAGTTTAATCTACTGAGAACTGAATTATGTCTGGACGTGGTAAAGGAGGAAAAGGTCTTGGAAAGGGGGGCGCCAAGCGTCACAGGAAGGTCCTGAGAGATAACATCCAGGGTATCACCAAACCCGCCATCCGTCGTCTTGCACGCAGAGGTGGAGTCAAACGTATCTCTGGACTCATCTACGAGGAGACCCGTGGTGTCTTGA